GAAGCCAATGCAGCAAGCTTTTCCAGGAGGCCGGCAGTGCACCATCTTCCCCTCTGGAACCAGGAAGAGATGCTCAAAGTGAGGACCAGAGCTCCCCAAAGTGAACCAAAGCCATTCTCAGTGCCAGCGAGGTCCCGAGCTCCTCAGAGGATGAAAACAGCCAAGTTCATCAGGAAAGCCAGTTCCCCACGGCCTCTCTCAGCTCCCAACAGCCCGCTTCTTCTCCTCCAGGTCTGCCTCTTATGCTGCTGGCAACAGTCCTCAGGTGGGCCTCCCACACCCAGCACCACTCACTCAGTTCAGCTGGGGGTTACAAGTTGACCACCAGTTATCAGTCCACTACAGGCTGCTAATCCTCTCTGTACCTCTGCTGCTGCTTCTGTAAAATAAAACTTTTTGAAAAGTCAGAAGACTTGCAGCCTGTGAGGAAATGTTTGTGAAATACCCCTGCAAATCATTAGTGATCTACATACAACAAAACCTCCAACAAATCCATAGCAAAAACCCTCCACTGACCCAATTTGAAAATGGGCAATCGTTCTAAACAGACATTTTTCAGAGGAAGACATACAAATAGCCACCAGGTACATGAGTACTTATTCAGCCCCACCCACCATGGGGCAAACTCAAGTCAAAATCACAAGCAGACCTACGAGGCTGCAGTCAGAATAGCTATTACTAAACAGACAGAAGGAGGGGCTGGGGATTTAGCTCAGCGGCAGAGCACCTGCCTGGCAAGCGCAAGGTCATGAGTTCGATTCCTGGTACTGGAAAAAAATAAAAAATAAATAAAAATAAAATAAAAATTTTAAAAAGTAAAAAATAAACAGACAGAAGGTAAGGACTGACCGACCAGCTTTGCAGAGGAGGAAGCCCCCATGCTGTCAGCGGGCGTGCTAGCTCGGCCACCCTGAAGAACAGGGTGGAGGTACCTCAACAGTAAAACATGGAGCTGGGGGCTGGGGATTTAGCTCAGCGGCACAGTGCCTGCTTGGCAAGCGCAAGGTCATGAGTTCGATTCCCGGTACCGGAAAAAAAATAAAAATAAAAAAATAAAAATTAAAAAAATAAAACATGGAGCCACCCTATGATCCAGGCACCCTCTGCAGGGGGCACAGCACAGGACATGACAGCAGTGCATGGAGATCCCCACATCCGTGTTCACGGCAGCACCACTCACAACGGCCAAGAACAGAACCCGCCTCGGTGTCCACCCATGGGGGAGGGTAGAGAAAGTGTGGGACAGATGCACCCCGTCAGCTGCACTTCCGTGCACAGATGGAGAGCCGCCGACTTTGACGGGTGGGTGGACGGGAAGGCCTTATGCCGAGTGGGGCAAGCCGGGCACAGGAAGAGGAGTCCCACAAGAACCTGCAGAAGCTGAGCTTATAGAAGCCAAGAGAGAAAGGTGGGAGTCATGGCTGCAGTCGAGATGCCTCCCACAAAGCCTCATGTGCCCATAGGGGGGCTCTGCAGAGGTGGCTGGATCCAGTGTGTGGTGCTGGCATTAAGGCCCTAAATAGCTAAAGGTTTAGCATAGTTCTGGGTGTGGATAATGGAAGGTCAACCCTGGGTGGAAAACCTAGGTCACACGTAGGAGAAGTTTGTGTGGCTTTCAGGACACTTTTTTAAAAAATAAACTATGAAATTGGGGGGATTAGGTGCTGGGTGTGCAACTGCTGGGGCTAGAAGAAAGAAAAGCACGGCCGGGAGTGGTGGCACACGCCTGTAATCCCAGCACACGGAAGGCTGAGGCAGGAGGATCCTTGTGAGTTCGAGGCCAGCCTCGGCTACAAAGTGAGCTCAAGGCCAGCCTGAACTGAAAAGTGAGACCCTGCCTCAAAAAAAAAAAAAAAAAAGAAAAAGAAAAAAAAAGACAAGAAGGAAAAGCAGGAAAGGGGAAAGGAGAGCAACGTTACGAGGACATCTTTAGGAAAAGGACCTTTAGGAAAATGAAAGCAAGGGACAGACGCCTCCCACAGAACCACGCAGGCAGTTTGGATGTCGCGGTCCCAGTCACCCCACCCGGGTCCCAGGACCTGGAGAGCGCCACCTGGCGGAGGCAGGGCGGGCGCCCCGCGGACGCGGACGCGCAGGACGGCAGTGGTGTGCGGGGCAAAGAGCGGGCGAGCCCGACCCCGCGCCGCCCCCGCCCCGGCCACTGCCGCAGAGCAGGGCGGAGCCCACCCAGGCCGGCGTTTCCTCCCCGCCTCCGGGGCGGCCTCGTCCCCGGGCTCCGCCCTCTGCAGAGGTGACCGCGGCCGCATCCCTTAGCTGGCGAGGGTTTAAAGTGTGCACAAAGTCTGCAGAAAGATGGTCTGTGCTTCAAACGCGTCCGCAGCCCCGCCCCCGGCCCTGAATCCTCGCGGATGGACCCCTCGCCCCTGTCCACCTCGAGCCAGCCCAGGCGCCTTGGTGTCCCCGGCCCCCGGGAGCAGAGGCGGGATGAAGGTCGGGGTCCCAGGGCTGGAGGACCTGCTGCCAGAGGAGCGGCCCTGGAGCCCCCTCTCGCGGCCGGGCCGAGATGCTCCTCGCCGAGGTGAATCTGTGTCCACCTGACCCCCGCCTTGCTTTCCTTCCGGAGTATTTCTTGATCTTCAGCAGCGCACGCATAAACACTTTGAAAGGCTCTCTAGCTCTGTCCACATACAAAGGGGACGATGCCCTGGCCCGATGCTCTGTGACCCTGCAGAAGGGCACCAGCCAGGGACCCTCCCCAGTCCAGCGTCTGCCCTGTGGGTTACCTGGTGGGCCACGTGGGAAACACACCGGGAAGTTCCAGAATGAAGAAGTGTAATGTTGGAGTTATGTCCTGGAGCACAGGAGTGATGAAAACTCCCTCACACCAGCCTGCTCTGTCCTGGACAGTAAGACAGGGAGCGAGAGGAGGGAGGGGGTGGGGAAGGGGGAGGGGAGGGGACACACTCAAGTTTTCCC